GATGCGGTGGTGAATTTAAAAATGTTTATCGATGCAGTTGACTTCCTGACGTTTCAGAACAAAATAGAATTTCCATTTTTTTGTTTCAGATTCAAGAATTTGGTTAGAAACATACGTGGTCGTCGAGGTGAGAAGGTTGCAATCAACGTTCCGATTTATCGTGATAAGAACACACCGAATCCATATGTGGTCAGTGATGATTCTGTTATCATATCTGTTGTTTTTCATATTATATTTGTTGTTTTTCATTTCCACATTCTGAACGTTGGAAATGTTTTAGCCGGAGAAAATTGGAAAATTGTGTTTCAGGAAGATTTTAGCGGAATGCAAGACGGCGGAGAGTCGGCACGTGCCGCCAAACCAGATCATATCTATATGGATCATATGGGCTTTGGAATGGGTTGTTGTTGTTTGCAAGTCACGTTTCAGGTAAACGAATGAATATCGCTCGATTTTGTCTTGCTTTTGAGAAGAGCTCACAAAATATTAACAACATTCTTCTTCGAACAATTTGAGGATTAATGAAAATTTACCAAAATAATTCACTGCTCTTATGGTAATTCACTTTCAAGGCGGTGAATGTGGACGAAGCTCGTTGGCTCTACGATCAGCTAACTCCGATTACACCGGTTCTGTTGGCACTATCAGCTGCAACTCCAATTTTCCGTTCAAGATTGTCAGATCGAGACTCTAGATGGGATATCATATCAGCTGCACGTTTCATTTCATCATTATCTTATTATTATCAACTAGATTATTATTATGATCATCATATTGCTGCCATTGTCGTCATTATCATTATTATTCATGATGTTTCAGAGCGTAGATGATAGAACCGCAGAAGAGCGAGGGCTGGCACCGTTGAAGAACAACAAATTCGTGCTGAACAAAAGTCGTTACGATTCAACCGATTGCTATATATTTCCTTGTTCTGCAGGGTTCGTCGCATNATGCGAATTGTGTAATTGTTTCTGACAGTTTCGAGTGTGAATATGCTGAATTACAAAGCGATTGATTCTCTTGAAAGCTAAACTGATCGTTAGTGCGATTGTTAAAATTGGAACAGTTTTACTTTTACGAATTTTGTTAGTGATATAGTGAATGTTAAATATTTATGTATTACTAATTCATATTCATAAGTCATGTTCAGATACAACGATATCCCGTTGGAATACGATGAAAAAATCTATGAACAACTTCTGAAAGGAGGCATTGACGAGTATTTAGCAAAGCATATTGCACACATGTTCATTAGAGATCCACTTCAGGTTCGTTCTTATGGTCTTCTGTCGAGAGAAATTTCCACCAGTTTGGTGTAGTTTCTCATTCAGAAGTTTCATATGTCATGATCTTACTCAGGAAACTTTCTTATTCTTGTAAACAAATATGTTGGATTTTAAGTGTTTGATGATCATTTTTAATTGCTACTTTTGGTTGTGCTTATTGTTAGTGAAGTAATCCGGTGGGTTTTTATTGAAGAAGTGTTATTCGTTTGAGAATATTCAGGTTTATAAGGAGCGTATCGATCAGGATGACTCGAAAAGTACGGAGCATTTCGAGACGATTCAGAGTTCGAACTGGATGAACATGCGTTTCAAGCCACCTCCACCGGACGCCTCTGAAATCGGCTGGCGAGTGGAATTTAGGCCTACCGAAGTGCAGTTGACAGATTTCGAGAATGCTGCGTATTGTTGTTTTGTGGTGCTCTTAACGAGGTGCTCATTCTTTTGGAATGAATTATTTGGCGCTGACGTTTTTTAAGCACTTGAATTTCAATTCTGAGTACTTATATGAGTATGTTTTGAATATTTTGTAGGTTATCTGCATCGTTCATGTTTTAAATTCTGATGGATTTCAGAGTGATCATTTCATATCATTTAACATTTTTGTTACCGATTTCGATGGTAACTGAAAATATGAATCGAGCGCAGAAACGGAATGCAATTCTGGAGCAGAAACTATACTTCCGGAAGGGTTTAGCCACATGTATGACCCATCAGGACACGAAGAAGACTGCGGAATGTAAGGCACCCCCAGGCGAAGTGGTCGAAATGACTGTCGCTGAAATTATGAACGGTAAACATTAAAGTTTATTCTTTTATTGTTAACGATTTTTTAGTTGTTTGTTCACAACTCTTTGTTGATTCTTTTGCTGAATCTGCATATCAAATGGTTATTCAGTTTTCTAAATTGCTTATTTTGTATTCGAAGAGTTATTATTATTATTATTATTATTGCTTTTGAATCATTCGATTTCAGGTAAAACTGATGAATTCCCGGGTTTGGTAACGTTGATTCGACAGTATTTGGATAGTGCAGATGTAGATGTCGATACGCGTTGTACAATTTCACAGTATTTGAATTTTATTCAGGTGACATTTCTTTTTTCTCTAAACAATTATCCATTATGTCTTATCTTATTCGTTGTTTGGCATGTCTTTGGATTGGTGACGTGCAAATTGTGAAAGAGAGAAGGTTCAATCGCTTTGTCGTTATTAAAATGGCTATTATAAAGAAGAGTAATATTCTAGAAACGAGCTTCCGGCGAAATATTAACGCTGGCAAGTTGGATGCGAGAGTTTGTGCAGAATCATGCAGATTACAAACATGACTCGTTTGTGAGCGATTTGATCGTGTATGATTTACTGAAAATGGTGAGTGCTTGTTATTATTATGATTACTATTGTTTTTATTATTATTAGTTTTTAAAGTGTTTATTACTTTAAATGATTATTGACTATTCATTATTATGATTATTGAACTCGTTATCGTATAGTATCGGTTACTGCTATGATAGCATGTTTCTTGTTAGCTGTTTATTCAATACAATGACGACGCATATTTAAAGCAGCATTTCTAGAAAATAATTTTCAGATGGACGATATTGCGAAGGGCGAGAAACATTGTCCGAAACTGTTGGGTAGTTATCGTTCGAAGACAGATTCACGCATTCCGATGGCTGTACGACGTGCCGAGGAACTTCTGGTGATGAGTAAGGCGGTGCGTAAGACATCCACTTAGTTGACGGGGTAATTTAACTTATTAGTCTGATATGTGCCGAGTTGTGACTAGCAGAAGCTAGAGGTGTTGCTTGTTTTCTGATTTAGAGATTCTTTTTTTCTCGATTTTGACGATGGAAAACTGTTTTTTGGAAATTTTCTTCAAGATTCATATTTTGTTTAAATTTTTCTTATAAAATTTGAGTTTTTTGAAGACATTTGTTTGGCAAAACTGTTTGATAATTGCATTTGAATATTCGCGCTGTTGATTATTGACCTATGCTGATTGATTGATTTATTTATTGATTGTTCGAAGAGATTTTCGAAGTCGCTTTGATGAAATTTTCCTGTGAAATTCGAAGTCTCTTTGATGATGAAAATCTTGTTCGCGTTTATTCTCATGTTTTTACAGATTTTCCTTCTGTAGTAATTTTCTCGATAGTTTCAATATGCTAACTATTTTTTAAAATTTATAATTGTATTTTACAAATTATGAAGAGATTATTTCCGTTGCGTTTTATAAATTTCAGTTTCATTATATTTTATAAGTTCATTGTAGCTTATAATTCTCTAGCATCTTATCGGACAAGTTAATCATCTTAAGTTGATTTCCAAACCTGCATTTTATTAATTCTCGTGTCTTATTTGTACTATTGCACTTTATTGTCACCGACTGATTACTAGTTCATAGCTTAGATTTGCATTTTGCAAACCAACGAACGAAGTTTCGATCTAGAAAATATTTCTGTATGAGCGGCTTAATCGAGATTTAATGTATTCTGTCAAATAGTTCGAATTCGATTCGTTGGCTTATTGTGACGGACGTATTTATTTTGATTTATGAGTGTGTGCCATAATTTAATCATGTTTTATCATCGTCATCGTCAAGTCATCATCAAGAAAATATTTATACATATTTCGAGAAGAATTGTTGTACAACACAGTGATTGTTATGTCATGTTGTTGTTTTTGTTGTTGTTGTCGTGTTGATGGATGATTGTGTGGTGAATTGATTATCGAAATTCAATTTATTTCATTTGGAAGTGCTAGGATTCAGTGAAATTATGATACAATGTAACCATATACACAAATCTCAATTCATTTTGTTTGTTTTCTCGTTAAAAAAAAAATAAATTTTGTACTATTGGCAATTCCA